CCGGTCGCTATGTGGCGGTCTGACCGGGGCATGTCGGCCGGTCTGACCGGCCCCCTGGTGGCCGGCGGCAGCGCTCTGGGCGGCCGATCCAGAGCCGCCAGAGCCGAGGTTGGTCGGACCGGCCACCCAACTGCGGTCTGACTGGCCAGGCAGTTGGGGCCCAATGTCAGCCTTGCAACGGCTAGAAATCTAGACGTTGCACAGTAGCACGGTATGACCAGCCACACACCTCCGGTCAAACCGACAGTACACTGAGTTGGGGGATTTCGCCCCCAACGGCTAGTTTTAGTTGGTGGGTGTCACACCCCAATCTAGTATCACCGTACAACGGCACCTGACAGGAGCGTGTCGTAGGGAAAACGGCGCAAACCGCTTCCTACGAAACCGCGATCTCAGTACCAGTCCCAGGACATAGCGCTGGTACCCACGATGACAAATATGAATCATTGCAATCCTTAAAATAAATAGAGGACTTATTTACCTTAACTTAGTTGCAACTCAGGACAGCCCGAGAATGCATCCGACGACGCGGACGAGGAAACACCAACAACAACAGCAGCAGCGGAACCAACGATCTAACACCCAACACCACAGGCGACGGCTGGGAACCAGGATGAAACCCTATTCTTCACTTCACTTCATCTTCAACTTCACAGCGGAGGAACTATATATATATTTGTATAGAGCAAGGGCGAGTACTTTCGTACTCAGCAAGTCACGGGAACTTAGGTGTTTGATGCAAGCTTGGAAGAGAGGCAAGGTTGTTTTGCAAATCCTTTGTTTGAAATCATTTTGAAGTCACTAAGTGATTTATTTCTTTCTAAGTTTGGGCCGAAAAGAGACTTGCGTCTCGATTCTACTTTAAGAGATGTTTTTCAACAACTCAATTCGTAATGTACCGACCTCCCGGGTCAGATCATTACTTCTCGGCTCCTAGAGCCATTTAACTTGATTAATCGGCTCCCAGAGCCTTTTTCATTTTCTCGAACTCCCAGAGTCCAGCTGCCCAGCAGCACAACAATTTGCTTCCACTCAGGAAGCCTAGTCTATGATGCCCGCAGACATCCCGAAGCACACAGATTCGTTTCAGACCACATAGGTCATCCATCTGCCATATAGGCTGATTCTGGTGACGATTCCCACACCACAACAATTTTTCACAAAGCACTGACAAACAAATCTATGCTATAGGAAACACCTCATATCCGCCCATGACCGTGGGCACGGCTGTTCGAACAGTTAGTTAACCTCTGCAGAGGGGGTACACTTTACCCACACGACATTACTAACCCGGATCACCCAGCCCGTGAGATCAGCCACGTCGGGAGATCCTAAGGCTTTCATGACAATGCATTTCGAAAGTCGACACCACCCTGTTGAATCCACTTGTCTCTTGGCATCAAGGCTTCCTTGGTTTGCTATTTACTTAGCCAGGGGCATCCTATTGCACCCGTGTGGTCACACTTATTATATGCTCGGATGAATTTCCCACAGGAATCAGTCCTTATATGCGAATACGGGACAATGCCACATAGGCACAACCCCCGCATCGTGAGTTTTCACAATTTATTTTATTTTCAAACACGCCAACACCACATGTCGGGTTTTCAAGGCTTCTCAAACCCACTTCCCAAATTATCGACAAACAATGGTGTATGTGGAATAGTTAGTATATGCGCTCAGAGAGCACGGATACCGAAGTACCACAAAGGTGGAGCAACAAGGAATCAGGGTGGTACGGCCTACAGGAATTAGTGCGACTACTGGGTAGGTCCGTCGGTTTGGCACGCAAACCGAGGCCAAGCAAGTTAAGTGTGTGATTCTAATAATGCAAGTTGTAGACAAAATAATAATGACTTTCCAATTATAGGAGCAATTGATTAAAGGGTGACTTGCCTTGCTCAAGGTCTTCACGAAGCTTCACGAATCTTCGAGAAATCCCGCGATTGACGAAAATCCGGTAATCGCAACTATACGCAAACAATCGACAACCTAAACAAAAGACCAAGAAAAAGATCCTATTTGGACTAAATAATAGTGCCATTAGATTGATCTCAATTTTAGAGGGTTACTGGAAGTGGAATGGAGTCAATCGAAGTTATGAATTGCGAGATATGAATTTTGGAAGTTTAGTTGGAATTTCTGGAATACGAGAAATGGTTTGTGGAATTTATAGAAATAATATTCTCCAGAATATTATTGACAGTCACTGACGTGCGGGGCCAAGGGAAATGATTTATGGAATTTCAGAATAAAGAATTGATTTATGGAACAAAGGAAAAATGATTTATCAAATCCTTTTGGGAAAGGAAATCAAGGAGGGATGTATATTGGACTTGTTTAGGGTGGCATTGGTGCGGCCCAGGTGGCTTGCGCAGCGCAGCCGAACCGATGGGCTGGCGCGCGCGTGTGTGGGAGACGGCCTAAGAGGGGCGCGACGGTTGCGGGCTGAGGCGCGGGGCGAGTGGGCCGGCTGAGCATGACCCACGCGGCGCGGGGCAGGCTGGTGGAGCGAGGCCGAGCTATTGCGGGCCGGTGGGGCGAGCGCGGCCCAGGCACACGACGCGGGCGCACATGGCTGCGGGAAGGGTGAGGGCTGACCGGGTCAGCTTGACTCGGTCAAGCCGAGGTGGCTACGACGTGGCCACCACGCGGGCATAGGAGAGAGAGGGAAGCGGTGGTGAGGCCGACCGGGGATCCAACGGTCCACGGCGTGCGAGGAATTCCGGCGAGCGGCGGCGAACCGGAGTGGGCGGCGGGCACCGGAAGCGAGAGGGGGTAAGGGCGGTCCCATCCACCGGCTCGGATGAGGGAGAGGCGGCCGGCGACGGCGGGATGGGTGGCATGGCCCGAGCGCAGCCGGCGAGGCGGGCGACTGGGGTGGCGGTCTGAGAAGGTTCAAGGGGACACGGGGAGGGTCGCGGCGCAAGAAATCGGCGAGAGACCGGCCGGCGACGGCGGCGGAAGCAGAGCTACGGCGGGGCGGCACAGCACTGAGAGGGGCGTCACCGGGGAAACAGAGAGGGGGCGCGAGGAGTTACGGGAGGGCGACGACGAACTGGTTCGACGAGAGAAAAGGGCCAACGACGGCGCGCGACTGCGTGGTGGCGGACGCAGCATAGCGTGCGGTACGAGGAGGAAGAAGGCGGCGATGCGGAAACAGAGCGCACAGCGAGCTAGGCGAGTGCGGGGACGGCGAAAAAGGAAGGTGAGGAGCTCACCGACAGGAGGAACGGTGTCGGCGACGATGGCCCGATGGTGAGAAGGGCGGGAAGCCAGCGGGGAGGGCGGCCGGGCTCCACGGAGGATGGTGTTTGCGACGGCGAACGCGGCTCGACGGGGCAGAATTGCGTCGGCCGAGTGGTGGTGCCTGGCGGCGAACTTGATGCCGAGGCGAGCGCGCCGGGAAGGAGCAGGAGGAAGACGGCGACGAGACGGCTGCAGCTCCGAGGTTGACGAGGCCGACACTGAGGCGCACGTGGCCATAGACACAGTGCAACAGCGGGAAGGAAGGGGCTCGGGATGGGATTTTATAGGCGAGGAGGCGCTTGACTGGCGCTCGGCTAGCGAGCGGCAATGGCGGTTCGTGGGTAACCTGAAATCGAGCGACGGCGTGGATGCGTTTGGATGGCGAGGTCGGTGGATCGGGCGGCATGAATTGAATCGTGAGTGCGGGAGGGGCAGCTCGGCTAGTTCAAGGTGGGGCGCGACGAGCTGGCGGCTGGCATCAGCGGCGTCAGGGCACTCTGCCTCCAAGAGCAAGGAGACAAAGGTGGGAGAGAGAAACCAATGTCCAGGAGGGAAAAAGAAATGGAGGACGGTGGAAAGGGGAGCTTGCTCCTTCCGTTTTGGGGAGGTGCGGCAGGCGAGGCGCGTGGGAGCGGTATGGGGCACGCGACGCAGGCGGCGCAGGCGCGACATGGCAGCTTCCAATAGTACCACGTGTCCACGTCTGATACCCATGAGTATCAGATCTGATACCCAGTTACTAGGTTTGAATATTGGGTTGAATACCGAGGTACCGAGTATGATACCTATGAATAGCAGATGAGATAGCGAGTTATCGAGTCTGATACCTATGACCATCGGATCGACCCATGTAAACCTAAAGAGGTGTACGGGTAGTGTCGTATTGGAGTATTGCATAGCTATTTTGTATCGTAGGAGAAAAGAGCACTGCCACTAGTCGATGTAGACCTGAGGGTCTCCAATATGAAAGGACAGCACACAACACGTTTTCAGAGATAAAAAGAATCCAGGTCTGTTTAGATCTCCTAGCAAAATTTTACACCCTCTCACATCGAATGTTTGGACATATGCATGGAGTATTAAATATAAATATCCGGGCCTATTGAGATCTCCTAGCAACATTTTATACTCTCTCACATCGAATGCTTGGACACATACATGGAGTATTAAATATAAACAAAAAAAAATTAATTACATAGATTGCATGTAAATTGCTAGACGAATCTTTTAAGTCTAATTGCGCCATGATTTGATAATGTGGTGTTACAGTAAATACTTGCTAATGACGAATTAATTAGGCTTAATAAATTCGTCTAGCCGTTTACAGGCGGATTCTATAATTAGTTTTTTATTAGTCTACATTTAATACTTCAAATTAGTGTCCGTATATCGATGTGACCGGCTAAAACTTTACACCCCTTTTAAACACCCCCTTAGGCTGTGTTCGCTCCTCCTGGTTGGTAACACTCCCGTCCGGCATGAAAAACGGAGCGGTCCATTAGCACGTGATTAATTTAGTATTTGCATTTTTTTTTCAAAAATGGATTAATTTGATTTTTAAGCAACTTTCGTATAGAAACTTTTTGCAAAAAACACACCGTTTAGCAGTTTAAAAAGCGTGCGCGTGGAAAACGAGAGAGATGAGTTGGGAAAATGGGCATCCGAATACAGCCTTAGTGAGTAATGGATAAGTAGAATTTATACACTATACCGTTGAGACGGTACACCGTCCCATATATTTCTCCAACGGTAATATCTGCAACGGTAGCATCGCGTAAAAGAAAGAGAAATCTCCCGTCCGGTTGTCTCCTCCGCTGCTTGCGCCGCCGCCAAGACGAGTCGCGGTTGAGCATGTGAGGGGCGGCGATCTCCATCCGGCGAGCAGAGCAGGGGAGAGGAGAGGATCCTGGTGAGGGGCGGCGATCTCCATCCGGCGATCTTCTCGGGCGCTCGCGCTCCCGGTCCCCCCGGCGGCGATGGCGGCCGCGGCGGTTGGGGTGGCGAGCAGAGCACGCCGGAGTTCTGGCTCGAGGGGAGTGGCATTCTGCCGATGGACGAACGGCCTCCTCCACCCGCGCTTCGTCTTCCCCGAGGCCGCCGCGGTGGCGGGCTCTGGGGCTGGCTCCGCTCAAGGTACAATCCGCCGCGAACTCCCTAGGTTTTCTTTTTGGTGGCTCGGTTGCGGGATCTACCGCGCGTTTGGGTGCTCGGAGATTCCGATGGGTGCGCTTGCTTGCTTGCTTCGCGTTCCGATCGATCGTTCATCAGATCAATGTGATGTGATGCCTGTCGCATGATTCGAGTTCTATATAGTAGATTGATGCATTAATTCATTTGTGTACTTCTCTGAAATTTGGGGATGTGAGTAGTAGGTTATCTGAACTTCACGGGATGCTATCGGACCAAAGTAATTAGAGAATTTCCCTAGGGTGTTTGGGTGCTGGATTGGAGATGTTTAGAGTGGAGACTGGACAATCTACGTTACAGGAGTTCTTCTGGTGCTACGCATATTTTGTATCCACTTGTTTAAGCTTATGCTTTAGGAAATGTGCTGCTCTGCCCCGGCACACACGTTGCATTAGGAAATGTGCTACTCTATAGTGAACTGCGGAATTAATTCCTCACCATGTGTTTTCTTTGGGGATACAGACTGCATTGCATTGAGAAACGCCATTATGCCAATGAAAATTTCTCCATATGCTTCCTATACTGGTTCACATAGTGTTCAACACTGTAAGTTCCTGACAGCTGGAACTTACAGCTAGGATGCTGTAAGTTCCTCACTTCCTGTGCCCATGTTCTGAACTGTTCCATATGCATTTCCCACTTGATGTTATTTCAAATTGCTGTGTTCCACTTTTGGGCCATATATCTGGCAGTAATTCAAACAGATATAGTTTTGCCAGGAGTTCTAGCTAACGTCTCTTCCCGGTCCTTGAGATCACATCTGCTTGGTTTTGCATGTCCTATTGTTTGAAACTTGCTGCCTATTAGAACCTCCTTAGTTGTCTCAATACTTTTACTTTTATTACTGCTACATTAATTATCTTGTTGCTGAGCCCTGCAACTAAAACCCTCCCCCTTCCCCCCTCTCCACTGCAGAGCACAGCGCGACCACCTCAGACAAACCCGAGGTTTTCTTCTTCTCCTTTTTGATCGATGCAGCCGTTGTTCTTGCGGGGAAAGGGTTCTTTTTTTCCTTTTTTATTTTGTGGAGGCGCGGCTGTGGGCGATGGGCGGTGGCTGATGATCGGGGGATTACCACCACCTTCGTGATCTCTCGTTTTTCTCTGTGGAATTGGGGTGGATGGATGGATGGATACTCTGTTCATAGATGGCGACAGTCCAAGTTTATTCCTTTTTATTTTTGTATGTTTTTTCCTTGTTGGGTTTGTTCTGTTGCTGTAGTTGCCGTTTCTTGGCTTCTTGCTTTCAATGTGTTCTCTCTTCTCCTTCTCTTTTTTCTTTCTTTCTTTTTTGTTGTTGTCTGTTCTTGGGGGTAAGGGTGTCCCAATCGTATTGGACAAGCCTTCGCGTATGTAACTGATTGGAATTGGAGTGTGGAGTTAGACGCCGACAGGTGAGGCAGATGAACAAGAGTTCCCAACCCAAAAGTTCACTAATGAAGTGAAGTGTAAATAAAATAAAAAGTAAATAAAAGGGAGAAAATACTAATAGTTGCTTGGGGAGTTGGGATTCTCCAAAAGATAGTGTCTTTTTTTCTTCCTTTTTCGGTTACGCTTGGTGAGAAGATGATTTATTTGGAGATGGTGGACGACGCCTATTTCTGTTTTCTGGCTGTCTAATTCTGATGATGGCGTCTCATGTTTTTCAGGTGCGTTTTGCGTGAAGCGGGTTTTAAGGATGGTTCTAAACAAGGTGCTCGAGCTGTTTTGTGTGAAGAAGAAGGATTCCAAGAAGAAAGGTGCTGCACAGCTGCACTACTGCCCCTATTTAACATCATCTTTACGTCAGCTGCTTCTGTTTGTTTGATTGATCCTAGGATGCTTTCCTCATCTGATGGCATATTATCAGTTCGTCTTGTGCACTCTTTCTTCCATGAATTCTGTTTTTTTTTTCAAATATGAACGTGTTTTCTGGTGAAAGGATACTGCAGATTAAATGGGGTTGTCATAATGGATTGACATTATTGGATAATTGTGGCTGCTGTACATTATTGCTATATCAGATGCTTTGAGGTTAACAAAGTATACCAAAATGTGATATGTGTAGTAAACTTAATCTCAACAGATTGAGAGTGCTACTAGTGTGATTGGATATATTCACTGGAGAGTGAACTTGTGAATAGTCTGGTATTATGAATCCATGAGTCTTGGTGATCAATATTGTTTTGAAGTTTGTTAAACTGTATAATGAAAAAAAACTTAATATTTCATTAGCCTGTATACCCAGCCACGAAATCCGCATCTCCCTCTGAAGCATGGAATTCTCCTTATTTTGTTTCAGAAAGATAAAATCAAGTGTTTTGCTCTTCTGCCTGGAGCTTTCTAATAAAAGAATATTTTCATGCAGGCAAAGCCATTAATCCTCTTTGTAAAGTTATCTTTTCATGCAACTTTTTCCTCCTTGTTTGTTTTTGTAATTCTTATGCTTCATGTAGCTGAACCTGTTCTTTTAAAAAATTAAAATGAACAAAAAAAAAAAAAGCCCCCCCCCTCCCCGTTTACCCCCAAAGGGGATATTTGTTACTTTAACAGAACTACACATTATCTAATGTTCATCACTCTTTGCTTTGCTGTCAGTCGGTAGTATTGATGCAAGTAAACCTCTTTTTTGCAGTTAAATGAGCTTCAGTATCCTATTCTGTATCTCTGTCTTTAAGATTGGTGTGCCTTTTTTTGTAACATCTTGGTTTGAAACTAGTTACTCTACTGGCTTTCAGTTGCCGCTCCACACCCCACTGCAAATGTCAGCACAAACAACAGCCTTTTGGATCCCTTTTCAACTGGGAATGGTACTGTGCTATCTGTGCAAAAACATGAGCCTGAATGTTCAAGTGTTATATCATCAATGACAAGGACAGAATATGGATTTGAAAGTGATGGTTGCAATTTGTTTAGCCATTTTGATGTTGTTCAAGATTTTTCTGACCATTACTATGCAAAGAATTCACCAGGGAAGGTAAGCTGTGCGTTTTATGAATTCTATTTCTATCAATAGATCCAACTGTGAATTAATTTCCTGTCTTTATCTGTGGCCACTGATCAGACCTCCAAAGATTGGGTGAAGACAATCCAAAATGAATGGAGGCTTCTACAGAAAGATCTACCTGGTCAGTACATGCTTTTATATGGCAAATCATTGTATTCAATTTTATCAAACCGTCAGTGCCTAGATGGTGAACACATATAATGGTCCTTTCTTATACTGACCTCTGTTTTATGCCAATTATATCTGATCCGTGTGACATGCTAACAGACTATGTTTGAAATCTTTCTTGAGTTAAAGGTAGTCACATGCTCAGTTTGGGTTTGAATAGGATATATTCATTGGTTATACCAATTTGTTTGTGGTTTGGAGTTTTGTTACAACTGTTGCTGAATCCCGAACTAGCTAATGATATTGTCTATGCTTGATGTATAAAATACTTTATTCGTGCTATATCTGATTTATCTGTTAGTTTTTGTTAATGTGTCACATATCTTTTAGTTATGGTCTGCATTTATCGTCCCTTTTCCATGCAATCTTGTCATAGAAGCATAACAGTCTTCAGAACTTAATCTTGCTAAGTTTGGGTAATGGGACAAATGGAAAAGAATGTACATATCTCAAATCATGTTGCTGAAGGAAGCTAATGTATCACAAGTATCATTACATACAGTTTACATTTGCGCCTTAAGTTTTTCGTTTAGAGCAACTGTGACTGAAATAGCTGATGTCTTCAATACTAGAAACTTGCATCTCAGTCTGGTTTCAATCATGCAGAATCTATCTATGTTAGAGTTTATGAGGATAGGATTGATCTGCTGAGGGCTGCCATTGTTGGGCCAGCTGAAACTCCATATCATGATGGTCTGTTCTTCTTTGATGTTTGCTTTCCTTCTGAATACCCACAATCCCACCGGTATGAAACCACTTCACACACGCTTTCCACCATTATTTTCATGTTACTACCACCACTGGTATAACCTCTTTAAAATAATATCCAACGTGTACAGAAAGTTCATTACCATATGCATTTCCCACTTGATGTAATTTCAAATTGCTTTGTTCTACTTTTGGGCCATATATCTGGCAGTAATTCAAACAAATATAGTTTTGCCAGGAGTTCTAGCTAACGTTTCTTCCCGGTCCTTGAGATCACATCCGCTTGGTTTTGCATGTCCTATTGAAACTTGCTGCCTATTAGAACCTCCTTAGTTGTCTCAATACTTTTACTTTTATTACTGCCATATTAATTATCTTGTTGCTGAGTCCTGTTTTGATGATTATGCACAAAGTATTCAGTTGTTCTGGTACCTAAATGAGTAGTTTGCTTGCTGGCGTATCACATGACTTAAACAATAATACTTCTCTTTTTGTAACTGAAATTAAGTCAATAAAAAGGGAAAAAAAACTTGCTATTACATACAAATCAAGAAATTAAGTCAAAAAATGGAGAATAAAAGAATGGTACCTTCAGTGTGGCCCAATTGAAAGGTTGGATGTGATAGTATGCCAAGATTGTTAGGTTTACATAGAATCTTTCGTGAGAACCATTGCCATTGTAAGATCATCCACAAAGAATACCATCAATGCATATGTATTATCATCCTGTGTACAAAAATAGCAGGCAGCAAATTAACCAATAAAAAACTGCTCATAGCATAAACAACTAAACCTAAATAGGACCACATATATCATTCATGTTGAACTAATAATGAGCAGCAAACCAGAACAGGGATCAGTGGCTAGATCAAATAGGTACACTTGCATATAGTATATAGAAATCATAGTACAACACAAAGGGAAAAATCGTTCATTGCTTTAAGTAGAACTGCATACCAAATTGGGTTTATCCGAGTCGTCGCCATACGCTGGTACAGTCATGGCTTGTTATTGTTGTCCTAGTCATGGCTGAGCCGCCGCTCTCAATCTCTCTTATCGTCCCTGGCGTCCTAGCCATCGCTCGGATCTGGCACTAAATGGAGTGGAGAGCGATTAGAAGAGGGCGAGAGCGAGGGAGGCGATGGTGGGGTGGGGATGGAAGAGGAGAAGATGGTGGCGGCGACTCGTGTCCCTCGCTTCCCTGTGGCCAGATCCACCGGTGACTTATGCGATGGCCTCTCTCGGAGAGAGCGGCGGCGGCGCGGTGAAGATGGCTGGAGGAGGGTGAGGAGGCACGCGGGTGAGGATGGGTGGCGGCGCTAGTTGTGACGACGCGGGTGAGAGGAGGAGGGCGGCTAGGGTTTTGGTGCGGTGTGGTGACATCTGCGCCGTTCATTCCCAATCTGACGAGCGCACGGCTTAGGCAGCCACAAAGGAACACGTGGGTGGTCAGATCGACGTTAGTGCGAGATCCAACGGACGACAACAATGGGGCCTGGCACGTAATTAACAGAACTGTGGTGGCTTTTTTTGCAAAAGTGATAGCTGACGTGGCATCCCTACTTCCAGCAATCCCACGGCATTTAGAGAGATTAATATATCCAGTGGTCCAAAACCAAATTGGTGTGTTGGCTGGTTAAGAGTGAGTGCAACTTTTATACAGTCGCATGTGCCTGTTAAATATAGTTGTTAGTGCTCCACTTGAAAAAGTTGCTGTTATTTGTTTAAATCTTATGCTTTAGCTGGAAAACAGTATAATCTCTAAAGCAGCATCGGCATTTTCGAAGATCTTAACATTTGGTTGATTATATGCAGCTTGACGCATGTGCACATCCCTTCTTTGATGAGCTACGAGAGCCCAATGCACGCCTGCCATGGCAAATGGTCGTCCATTCCCTCCTCTGTTCAACTTCAAGCATGAAGTAAGTAAACGAGAACATTTTCGAACAGTCGCTTTTTATGTTACATTTATATTTACCTGTCATGGATGCTTATCAATGCTCATTTCTGCAATGCAGCTAACTGGCGCCTCTCCAGAACTCGTCCACAGACTCATACCGGATCATATCAGACGGCAACATGGCCTCAACTTGCGCATGCTGGGAGTTAGAATGGCACCGTAACGCTCACCGTTTTGTTCGTTTATTTTTCCATGAGCTGGACATTGCAATCCTAGATGACTCCATTGTCTTGGACTTGGGACTCCATCTCAGATTGCACCATCCATGATTCTTCCATGATCTATCCATCCGTCAAGCCATTTCCGCAAGGACTCAGTACCAGAGAAGTACAATTATGTAAAATATCTAGCCATGGGAGAAATGCGTGCTGCTGCTGCTGGTGTTAAGTACGTGACAGGGCATGCTGGTTGAGTAGTAGGTAAGGTTAAGGATAAATGTAGTTGGTGGAGACTGAGAGACATGTTAAGCTAGGGAACCCTGCTTTCTTTTTTTCTCCTTTCATTTTGGTTTCTTCCCATTTTGTGATCCTTAGCATTGCCCTACAGTAGTGTAGCTGCTCCCAGTTTTTGTTTGCTCTTTCATCATGTAAATGCCAATCCCAATCCCAATCGCAATGAACCCTCTTCCTTTACATCCTGGTCTACTCCCTGTGAGTCTTAGGTCTGTGAGTTTGTGCTGCTGGTTCTTCATTCAAGGTGGCTTGGGTGTGCGTTCTGATCGATTTGGCGTGACGTGTTTGTTTCCGTAGGGAAGGACTGCAAGGAGAAGCACCCTAACGTCAAGCAGGTATCTTGTGGCGCGTTTGTGTTGCTCTGCTGCATTAACTGCTACAATGTGTGTTCTGACTTGGTTGATTTGGTGGTGACAAGTGCAAGTCCATGTCTGATGCTGTGAGTTCCTCACTTCCTGTGCCCATGTTCTGAACCGTTCCATATGCATCTCTCACTTGATGTAATTTCAAATTGCTGTGTTCCACTTTTGGGCCATATATCTGGTAGTAATTCAAACAAATATAGTTTTACCCGGAGTTCTAGCTAACGTCTCTTCCCGGTCCTTGAGATCACATCCGCTTGGTTCTGCATGTCCTATTGTTTGAAACTTGCTGCCTATTAGAACCTCCTTAGTTGTCTCAATACTTTTAGTTTTATTACTGCCATATTAATTATCTTGTTGCTGAGTTCTGTTTTGATGATTATGCACAAAGTATTCAGTTGTTCTGGTACCTAAATGAGTAGTTTGCTTGCTGGCGCATCACATGACTTAAACAATAATACTTCTCTTTTTGTAATTGCATTTCTTGGTTCAAGCTTATATCTCAGTTGACCATAGGCTATAGTGGAAAGTTCATAGATCAAATATGTTAAGAGTAATGGAATCTATTTACTCTACTGTGCATTTAATTGAAGCAGAGATTTCTTAATCTGGTTGGCTATTTGATATCAGGTGAAAGCAAATATTTGAATGATATTATGTGAAACATACGACAGGTTTTGGCACTTGACAAATGCTTTGTTGACCCACGTTGTTTATTAAATCCCACACAAGAAGTAATGAAGAGGGCATTATACCATTAACAGATGCTATTCCCAATATTCCAATCGTAAGTTTTATTTTATGTTGGTGAAAATCTAGTTTTCATTGTTTTCTCCATAAATGCCTTGCGTGTGTAATTCTTGTACATATACTCCCTGAACTGTTATTAATATATTTGAACAGTATGATTCATATGATTCTGTCCCGTGTTTGATTAAAAAATTTAGGATATCGCCTAAAAGATGCTATTAGCTGTTACAATCTTATCATGAGCAATTTATGATCTGCACAACCAGTAAGTGATTGCTAATTTCACGTTAGAATGATGGCATAGAGTAGAATGAATTGTACCTTTGTTTATAAGTTAAAAACTTTGGGTTATTTATTCTTGTATTTGGTAATACAATGATGTCCTGTTGCCTTGCTTCTATAACATGGCAATAATAGGTCGGGCTACTCAATGTCGCTAAGGGCTACTATGGCTCAGATTTACCTTTTTTTTAAAAAAGGAAAGCACTAAACTAATTTTAATTTATCTTTGTAATGAATGATTTTTTGGGATTGTGTTTCTGTGTGTGTGCGGGAGGGGGATGCGAATCCGTATATGTTGTTAGGGGCATGCGGATTTGGAAATTTCAATACACCGGGAAGGGCAAATTTATTGCATTGTTCATGTATATGGTATTTCTCTCAAGTACAAGAGTACATTGATGACATATATTCAGATGTTTGCAAATTTCTTTACTGTAATCTTCCATTATCAGCTTATAGCCAACAGGACCAGTTTATTACAAGGGTACCAAGATAAGTTTTTTTTTTTCTAGAAAGGAAGACAAATGGAAAACCTGCTACAAGTACTAGTTTAGAAGCTTTAAAATACAAAGGGCAACAAACATTCTCCTCTCTTCTCGAAACTTCTTTTGGTATTCTAAACTCTGAGTAACATCCCTTGATTATTTTTAATAACATTTCTCGATTTTGTAATCGATACATTTATATGGATTATACATGTTCAGTTTCTAACCTACAATTGTTTTTTTTTTCGGAATTTGGTGTTAACTTTTGTGTGTTCGATGTTTTTTTTTTTGTGTTTTAAAGCTTTAGTTCTGCATTTCAGATTGGATTGAGACTCTAATTTGGACCTTATTTCGTTTCTTGCATGGCATTTAATACTATTGGTTTCTTACTGTATGCTTGACAGATTCAGTTCTATATGCCTAAATGCTTTTATTAAAGTTGATATTTCTTTTTTTTAATCATCTGTTACTTTGCACTTCAATCAGTTTTCTAAAGCTTTAATTTGGTATTTCTAATTTCTTATCCAAAAATTACGATTTGTTTTGCAATTCCTTGGTTTCATCCTTGATACTTTTATTGGGATTCAGAAAATTCAGATTTGTTTTTTTTTAATTTGGTACTCCCAACTATAGAAATAGGATATTCTAGTTCACACGTGGCCCTTTTAATTTGTAATCCATCCTCCCCCTCCCCTAAAAACACTGAATTGATTTCTTCCTGGACACTTTTAAGTTGGTGTTTCCTTTTATCCATAAATACTTTCTTTATATTTCGGACTTATTCTCTATTTGAACTTTTCCGCTTTAGCTTGCTACTTATGATTGGATTTTTAGAGATTGGTGTTCTTTTTTTAGAAAAAGAAGGCCTCTTAGTCTTATGTTTTTTTTGGTTATGTTATTTTAATTTGGTTATGTTATTTTCAAAAAGAAAATATTTGCCCGTATTTCAACCTTGTGGCTTTTTTGTCCCTCGAGGTTTCATTTCCCGTCCTCGTTTAAACTTTATGTTTTTATTTGGATATCTTCGAACGTTCTTCTCTATTAATGGTTTTGATCTGCTATTTGGAATTTGGATCCTTAGATACCGGTTATTTTTTGATCCTTGAGTTTCAACTAGGTATTTTTAGTTTGATTTCTTCAATTACCAAACTCTCTTTTTGGAACTTCCCTTTAGACTTTAAAACTTTATTTTACTTCAGAAATGACAATTTTCATAATTTTGTTTGAACTTATGCTTACTAGTTTGCTGAAAGAAAACATTTGCCCACATTTCAACCTTGCGGCTTTTTTGCCCCTCGACGCTTAATTTCCCGTCCTCGTTTAAACTTTATGTTTTTAGTTGGATTTAATAATCTTCGAAGGTCTTTTGTATTAATCGTTTAAACTTTATGTTTTTAGTTGGATTTAATAATCTTCGAAGGTCTTTTGTATTAATCGTTTGAGTTGAATTTCTTTATCTTTGAACGTTCTTCTCTATTAATGGTTTGGATATACTATCTGGACTTTAAAACATTAATGTGGTTCCTCACTTACCGGTTGTTTTTTAATCCTTGAATTTTAACTTAGTATTTTCAATTTGATTTCTTCAATTACCAACTTTCTCTTTTTGGAATTTTCGTCTGGACTTTAAAGCTTTTTTTTACTTCTGAAATCCCATTTTCCATAATTTTCTATGAAGTTATGCTTTCTAGTTTGTGAAAAGAAAATGTTTGCTTACATTTCAAACTTGCGGCTTTTTTTTCCCTCGATGTTTCATTTAACGTCTTCGTTTAAACTTTATGTTTTTTATTTATCTTCGAAAGTTCTTCTCTATTAATGGTTTTGATTTGCTATTTGAACTTTAAAACTTTGATTTGGTTCCTCACTTATCGGTTGTTTTTAAATCCTTTAGTTTCAACTGTGTTTTTTCAGTTTGATTTCTTCTATTACAAAATTTCGCTTTTTGGAACTTCCGTTTGGACTTTATAGCTTATTTTTGCTCTGAAATATCATTTTTCGTAATTTTCTATGCATTTATGCTGACTAGTTTATGAAAACAAATTATTTGCTTAGATTTCATCCATGCGCCTTTTTTTTTGTCCCTCGACGGTTTATTTTCTTTCCTAGTTTGAACTATATGTTTTTAGTTGGATTTATTTATCTTCGAACGTTCTTCCCTATCTTTATTAATGGTTTAGATATGCTATTTGGACTTTAAAACTTTAATTTGGTTCCTCACTTACTGGTTGTTTTTTTTAGTTTGATTTCTTCATTTACAAACTCTCTTTTTGGGACTTCCTTTTGGACTTTAAAGCTTTATTTTATTTCTGAAATGCTAATTTCCATAATTTTGTTTGAACTTATGGTTACTAGGTTGTGAAAAGAAAATATTTGCTTACATTTCAACCTTGCGGCTTTTTTTGTCCCTCGACGCTTCATTTTCCGTCCTCGTTTCAACTTTATGTTTTTAGTTGGATTTATTTATCTTCGAACGTTTTACTCTATTAATGGTTTTGATTTGCTATTTGGACTTTAAAACATTAATTTGGTTACTCACTTACCGGTTGTTTTTACACCCTTGAGTTTCAACTTGCTTTTTTCCAGTTTGATTTATTCATTTACAAACTTTCTCTTGGATTCCTTGATTTTGAAAGGTTCTTCTTGCATCGATTCTTCAAATATCATTTTTGGAGTATCCAATGTTTTTAGTCGTAACAGTTTGTCTCCCTTAAATTTATTTGAACTTCTGCTTTTTGCTTTGACTTGATGTTTTTAGTTGGATTTCTTTACCTTTACATCGTTGAGTTTCAATTTGGTACTTTAGGTTTGATTTCTTCAGTTACAATGTTTCTCTTTTTTGATCTTCTCATTGGACATTAAAAGCTTTGTTTTAGTTTTGAAACCCTACTTTCCAAAATTTTGTATAAACTTATGCTTACTAGTTTTCGAAAAGAAAATATCTCGTTGCGTTTAAACCTTGATTTCTTGAGTTTTAACTTGGTTTTTTCAGTTTGATTTATTCAATTACAAACTTTCTCTTTTTGGAACTTCCCTTTTGACTTTAAAAACTTATTTTGGTTATGAAATCTTATTTCCTAAATTTTCTAATAACTTATGCATACTTCCTCCGTCCCAGAATGTAGGTATTTCTTAGGTAGGCACATAGATGGAGAAAGTAGGTAGAGATAATTGGAAGAGGGTTGTAATTCGTAGAGAAGAGAGTAGGTGAAGAGAATGGTTGTGATTGGGTTAAGAGGAGAGGGTAGGTTGAGAAATAGCTACATTTTGGGACGGAGGTAGTACTAGTTTGTGAAAAGAAATATTTGCTTGCATTTCAACCTTGCTGCTTTTTTTTTTACCATCGACGCTTCATTTTCCGTCCTCGTTTAAACTCTATGTTTTGAGTTGGATTTTATTTATCTTCGAACGTTCTTCTGTATTAATGGTTTTGATATGCTATTTGGACTTTAAAACTTTGATTTGCTCCTCACTTACTGGTTGTTTTTTAATCCCTTAGTTTCAACTTGGTATTTTTTAGTTTGATTTCTTCAATTACAAACTTTCTTCTTGGAACTTTCCTTTGGACTTTAAAGCTTTATTTCACGTCTAAAATGTCAATTTTTCATAATTTCATTTGATCTTCTTTTTACTAGTTTGTGAAAACAAAATATTTGCTTACATTTTAACCTTGCAGCTTTTTTGAACGCTTCATTTTCTGTCCTCGTTTGAAATCTATGTTTTGAGTTGGATTTCTTTATCTTAGAACATTCTTCTCTATTGATGGTTTTGATATGCTATTTGGACTTTAAAACTTTAATTTGGTTCCTCACTTACCGGTTGTTTTTTAATCCTTAAGTTACAACTTGTTTTTTTTTAGTTTGATTTCTTCATTTACAAACTCTCTTTTTGGGACTTCCTTTTGGACTTTAAAGCTTTATTTTATTTCTGAAATGCAAATTTCCATAATTTTGTTTGAACTTATGGTTACTAGGTTGTGAAAAGAAAATATTTACTTACATTCCAACCTTGCGGCTTTTTTTTTGTCCCTCGACGCTTCATTTTTCGTCCACGTTTCAACTCTATGTTTTGAGTTGGATTTTATTTATCTTCGAACGTTCTTCTCTATTAATGGTTTTGATATGCTATTTGGACTTTAAAACTTTGATTTGGTTTCTCACTTACCGGTTGTTTTTTAATCCCTTAGTTTCAGCTTGGTATTTTCAGTTTGATTTCTTCAATTACAAACTTTCTTCTTGGAACTTCACTTTCGACTTTATAGCTTACTTTTGCTCTAAAATCTCATTTTCCGTAATTTTCTATGAATTTACGCTTACTAGTTTTTTTTTTCTGAAATCCTAATTTCCGTAATTTTGTTTGAATTTTTTGTTACTATTTTGTGAGAAATATTTGCTTGCATTTCA